AATGATGCAGATACAGGTTCTTAGGATCCTCAACAAGAGTCTGTTGAGATCACTTAATCTACTCATAAGCTTTAGAGTAAGACCTCCTTGCTTTCAGAGTACTCTAGTTTTATGAGTTGTTAGTAGTAGTTCTTTTGAGAAGTCGTGGGTCTTGTCCCAACATTCATTTTTGTATAGTAGAGGCTTCATAGATAGACAGTTTTGGAGAGTCTTTCAGTTTCAGATGTTTTATTTAAAACATATGTTCATACTTAGAATATTTAGAAAGTTTTGAGATTTAAAGAAACTGTTGATCTATCTTTTCTTTCAGTTTGATGCTTGAGTTAATCTTCCGCTTGTAGCCAACCATGATGAGGGTTCGCTTGGAGACCAACAATGGTTCTCAAGTGGTGGCCACGTCCAGGGTGTAGGCTCAAATCGTGACAATTAAGAATAAAAATAAAATTAATCATGTCACGCAAAAATGTGTTTTTCTATTGTGTAGTAACTTGTATATAACGTGACATTCTGTGAGTATCATGTCACGTAGGACACATGTGTCTACTTGTTCAACTTTATACAAGTTTAAGTATCTACATGTGCACATCCGACATTGGAGGGCATAAATATTAGTTGAGGTCAAGTTAAAGGGCACATTTATGTATCATGGGTAGGGACCGGGAGTTGGATCCTATGTAGGTTCGGAGTTGATTTTGGGTCGTAAATTGGATCGGGTCAATAAAGTCAGATCCTGAGTCAGGATAAAGTCAAGAGATATATCCCGGATCATGTTCAATATCAGTGTCGAGGTTCTGGGTTAGGGTTGGGAGTTTCTCAAGTTGGGGTTAGGAGTTTGGGTTTCAAATTGAGGTCGAGGTTGAGTCAAGGTAGGGAATAGGGTCTCGGGTTAGGGTCGGGATCCAGATCGGGAGTTGGGTCATGGGTTAAGAGTCAGGTATGCATCAGGAGTTGGGTCTTGGGTCAGGTGTAGGTTAGACTTGGGTTCTGGGTCAATAGTAGGGTCGAGGCTCGAGTCAAGGTCAAGAGTCTAGTCCGAGTCGGGGTGAAGTGTTGACTCCTAAGTCGGGGTCGGGAGTCGAGTGATAAGGTTGAAAAAGAGTTTTGAAAAATGTTTTCTTTACTTTTTAGGAAAGTCGTTTTTCTTAATTTAAAAAAATTAAGTTCATATAAGAAAATTGGAAAATACTTTCTAAAAATATTTTTCATCGTACCAAACACACCCTTTATAAAACTTAAAACTTTTTTTCTCTATTAGCTAGTGAACGTCATGCAAGAAAAGATTGTGTTATCTTAGTCTTAGATTAATTTAATTTTATTAGTTAGCTACACTATATTTGCGAAGGACATAAAACTATATATATATATATATATATTGCTAAAATCAACAGTTATTTATTTATTATTTATTTTATTTATTTTTCTAAAATCAACATTTAACTTGCAAAGATATATTCAATTAAAGATATTTAGATTAATTCTTAAACAACAAAGGGAAATTACTCACTTTTCAAAATAATTCAATGTCTTCATTTTAAAAAAAATTATTATTTACCCATAAATTACTTGTATTGTGTAACCTTAATATTTGATTTGACTTCTTTAATTTAGGGAAAGTACATTGAATTTCTTTTTCTAAGTTATTATTTCTCTATCAACTAAATGTTTTTGTTTCCCTATAAATACATTGCTAAGAATGACAATTAAAATCAATAATAACAATCACATATATAGTTAATTACTCTTGTGTTACCACAAAACTTGGAAAAGAAAATGGAGAAGGCAACATTCCTTAAGGTTTTCTTGATCTCCTTTTTGCTTATGTTGTTTGGTAAGCAATTTTCTTATCAATTTATGTGTCTACAATTTAAGCTATATGTATTGACCAGTAAAACTAATAATTTGTTTACCTTTTCAAATGTTAACTATCTGTTATAATTTTTTTTTGTATACATCACTGATTTTTTCAACAATGTGAATGTTGGTAGGACAAGGAAGCCATGCGAAAGGAGGATGCACTAAGGATGATGATTGTGTTAAGATTATGAGATGCATAGATGCAAGCCCCAAATGTGACGTGAATAAAAATAAGTGCTTCTGTCCAATTCCACCAAATTATGGAACAAAAAGGGTTCACAAGACTCACCAAAACTAATTTACATGTATGTTATTCATATGCAAAATTGAACCATGATTTATATATCTCCTTTTCATACATATATGGTTCAATAAATAAAGATCCTTTTTTTCATATTAATCATGTTGGAAAATGGTTTGGTTTGCTTTTTTGACTTGATGTTATATGCGCAGTGTATGTATCTTCAATTAATTCTTCGAGTCAATTAAGTTTAAGGATTTTAAGTAATTTCGAACTTTGAAGAACCCCTAAGTAATTGGTCGCAATAGTCAATTATAAGATCTGAATGGATTCATATTGATTTTTCAATAGTCAATTTCAATTAGTTTGCTGACAAGTTTAATTTTGTATAGATAACGTAAAAATAGGTGCCACATTTTATATAAAAATATAAAATACTACAACGTTATATTAAAAATAGAACAGAATATAAATAAACTACAAGTCATGTATATTACTATCACTCAGTTGGATGGACTTTCAGTTTTTGAAATTCAAATAACCTTATTAAAAATAATATTAAACACTTTTATATATATGGCACCAAGTGATAAATAAGAAACTCCACTCTCTTAGAAATAAAAATAAGTGCACATCAATAATTCCAAAAATCGCTCCTCAACTACTTCCTCCGTTTAAAAAAGAATGACCTTATTTCCTTTTTAGTCTGTTTAAAAAAGAATGACCCATTTTCCTTTTTTGGCAACACTTTAACTTCAACTTTCCAAGTGGCATGTTTAAGATCACAAGATTAAAGGGCATTTTAGTACATTTAGCATAACTCTAATTTAGAACCATAAGATTTGAAAGTTTTCTTTCTTTTCTTAAACTTCGTTCCAAGTCAAACTAGAACATTCTTTTTGAAACCGAGGGAGTACTATTCCCACCCATGCTCAGGGCCGGCTCTATGTATACAAAAATAAGGCATTGGCCTTAGGCCCCCAATTTTAGGGGGCCTCAATTTTTTAACAAGAATAAATTATGTGTTAATTTTTTAAAGAAAAACATTAATTATTTATGATAAAAAGTATATATTTAAAATTATTATTTTATTCTCTTCAACCCCATTCAAATAGAAGAAATCAAGAAAATATTGTTTTATTTTCTTACACTCTCTCTACTAATACTCACATTATTTTCTTTTTAACTCCTTTTATCCTCTCTTCTTTAAATTGTTGATAAGTTAGAGTAATATTCTGTCAAAAATATCAATTAATAGTTGAAAAGTGTTGAACAAATTGAATTGTAAATTCTTTTTCCATTTCTTCTTAGATTTTCAAGCATTACAACAACCATAGTAAAATGTGGGGTAACCAAATTATCAACTTCGTCAAAGCTATGGTTCTAACTCTTATATTTATTTGAAATTTGTCAACTTATTACTTGTAGAACTATGTTAACAATTCATATAATGATTGCCTGAGTAAAATAATATTTTTCAACGTTGAATTAATAGAATCTTATTTAAAACTAATAATTGAAAAAGAAATCGAATAAATCATTTATATATAAAGAAAATATTAGGTAATACTTTGCATTTAAAAATGTAAGAGAAATAATTTTTAAATAAATGCATGTGAAGTTTATTTAGATTTTAGGTCTCTAATTAAGATTTCGCTTTAGACCTCCGATTACGTTGAGCCGCCCCATGCTGCACCCTTAACAGAACAAATAAAGAAAACAGACCCCTCAATTTGAGGCATACTAATTATTAGTGCACACATTCATAATAATATGGTGCAATGGATAGTGTTGTTCTTTTCTTAATTAAAAATTTTAAGTTTGGACTTTGAGTGCGAATAAGTTTTTAATGAGAAGTGCGACTTTTTGTGCCACAAATTTGAATTAATCGGACTTCAATACAGATATCAGACCTTAAATAGAGGAAAAAAAAATATTTCTAGTGCACAATGTTTGGAACAAATTTAAACATATGAAAAATAAATAAACCACACAAATAAAATATGAAGAAACATGAATATTTTATTGATAATTATTGCGGGTACAATTCTGTTCCTCCATTAATTCTACTCTCCTAAGATTTATCCATGATTTGAGGGCCGTTAGCGGCGTATTTCTCGAACCAAGATGATTCATATTTGACCTCTATACAAATATTCCATGACTTTTGTAGACTATTCAAGACGTTTTTTCAAGGGAATATAGTACCCTTTATATAGATATGAACTAGAGTTTAAGATTTATCCTCCAAAAATTCTAATTGAAACTAAACACTTATTGTAGAGTCACAATTAGAATTGAACATGTTTTAGAGTCTAACAAAATTTTAATGTCTACGCACGAAGAATCCCTCTGACCACCGGGATATATATTCTTGCCAGTTGCCTCCTCCCTCAACTTCCTCACTATTCTTACATATATCTCTAAAAAACTTTTTCCAAAAAACCTCTGTTTCTATTAATTTCTCACTTAGTTTAGTTTTCCTCACCTGCATACAAAGTCTATTTAATTACTGCACAAACTTCACATTGTTCTGTTTCCACTTTGCACTTTTTGTTCCTATAAAATTATTCATCTCCTCCTCTTAATTCCTCTCCACAGTTGCCTCATTCATAATTACCGACTAGTCAGGGTACCAAAAGTCAAAATTAATTACATCACCCACTTATTCTCTCTTTTTATTAATAAGGCTATATATAGGGGTATTTATTTACCAAATTAAAATGCCGTTTTAGGTGGGATACTCTAAAAAGTCTTGTACCTCTATCTAAAAATAAAAGTAAAAGTTTGGTGTATATTGACAATTGACATTTATTATAGAGGAAAAAATTGTCACCTATAATTTCAAGGTATATTGGCGGTGCATGCAACAAATTAGTTGTATGTAAGTGTTTGATTAAAGAGAATGGCGACCAAGACATCTTCACTAACACTTTTCGTCTCTATTCTTCTCTTCATCGGAGCTATTTTCTCCACCCACTTCCTATACTCTCCATTCGACAATGTAAGTTTCTTTTTCATTCTTTTTAGTGTTATTACTTAGATACACTTCAAATTATTCATTTACTTATATAATTGAACTAAGATACATTCTCAATTTTACAACATCAGTGAAATACATCTTAAATTTTGATGTGTTTTCAATATTTTTCTAGGTTTTTTATTAAAATTTCATGCTCCTACAAGAGTTTGAGATTACTGTATTGCTATGTAATGTAATTGATCGGGAATGTATCTAAATTTAGTTAGTTAAGTAAAAAAGTATTTTTAAAATTGTTAATAATTTGAGCTAAATTTAGAATGTTTTGATACTTCTCTCAATTAATTAAGTTAAATGTGTGTGTGTTTTTTTTTTTCACCGACTTTAACAAACACCAGGAGAAACAAAAAAGAATGATGTTCTTACTTCTTTGTTTGTTTGTTTTTTTTTCGCTGTATTATTATTAGCTTGATACTGCATGCCAAATAAAATATTTAATTCATCAAGAAAGTAAGTCACTTATTCATATTATTATCTAAAAGTACAATCATATTACTATTAGGAGGGATTTGCAGTTTTTCTTAATTGTGATTTTAAGTGTTTTTGAGCATATTTTAACTGTAATCAAATACTCCCTTCGTTTTCTCATTTGGTGTGAGAATGGGAGGAGCTAGCTTGTGGTCAACGATTCATTCCAAAAAAATTGTTATTTATATATAATTGCAATAATATAGAATAAATATTGAATCGAATTTACTTTTTTTAGATTTTGAAATTCCTTAGATAAAATTATGATTCCACCACGAAACGTGGCATAATTTTTTTAAGAAGTGTCTGAATAATATTTCCTCTTTGTCTTAATAAATAAATTTAATTTTTTATTTTTATTTTATCATGAGATATTTATATAAATATTTTTAAATTATAAATTATAAAAAAAAGATTTCTAAATTTTGTGCTCTAAGGCCTAAGCACAATAGCGGCCGTACATTATTGAAGGTGCAATAAAAATTGTTGGGCGAATATGCGGCAGATTTGTAATTTTACCCATCTTTTACGCGCTTTTATTTTAAATTATTATTAAAACATTATTATATGAGAGAGGGACAATGAAACAATTTTGCTGTGAAAGTTACGCCAAGTGTCTGTTGTGTAAGTTTACGTGGCATTATTTTGTGCTAGCATTACGATTTCTCGTTTCTGTTACCCATGTTATACAAATGCACGTGTTCTACTTCAATTTTTTCTTCAACGATAATTTTTATTTACATAGAAAGTTTATAGGTAGTCGTGTCAAGTCTTTTTACGTATATTGTCATTGTTATAACTTCATCTTTCGATTTTAATTTCTTTGTCTTATTTTAACATGATATTTAAGAAAATAAAGTAGCTATTTAAATTTTGGGGTTTCAAATTAAAAATAGATCAAAATGTCTTTAATTTTTAGGTCTTAAATATGTCATATAGAATATTGGAATGAAAGAGTTGCTAAAAATGGAAAATAGACATTCTTTTTGAGGACAAACTAAGAAAGAAATAGGAAAAACAAATTGACACGGAGGGAATACGTATTATTTTGTTCTATGGTTCGACTATTGTATTATGTGTTGTTGTTATTGTTCTCTTATCCGTTCTCTTCTCAATATGGCTGTTTGACTACTATATTTTCCTTTTTATTATCTTTACTTAAGCCAAGTATCTATCGAAAACAATCTCTTTGCCTTCACAAAGCAGGTAAGGTCTCGAGTCTTTGTATTTTTGTAATCATGCATGATAAAGCAAAACAAGAACAAAGTTGGACTTAAGGAAACTCAATCCTAGTAGCAACTATGTAATTGGCCATACCACGGCCCAAACTTCTGTTTTTGCAGCATCAAACAATATGCTTGACATTACGTAATTTATAATATATCTATCCTTTTGATCAAAAAAAAAAAAGAACAAAGTTGGACTAATTACTTAATATGTTACATTTTGAAACTACTATAGTAACAAAAAAACTGAAGATTTATATGCCAATGTGAAACAACTTCAACTACTTTTTGATCATCTCGTTCCTTCACCCTTGTGATTATAGGACATTATTTGCTATGTAAACCATCCATGATCGGAGGCGGACCCACATTCATATTTGGGGTGCACATGCACCTGTCAACTTTGGGAAAAAATTATAAGTATATCTATCTTGAGAAATTGACAAAAACTAGAATATAACTAACTGTGCACCCATGAGGAGTATAGGAGTGCCCTTGTATCGCTTGTACAAGCCACAGAGGAACCACCCTAGGAACCTATGTCTCTATTGTTTTTATTTTAAGTTTATTGGTGTGCCCAAAGTCTTCAAATTCTGGGTTTGCCTATGTGCATGATTTTGCGTCCAGGACACCATATGTCAATATTGTTCAGTATTCATATATATCTTGTTCTTGTCTACATTGCGAACTAACTCATCATCTTGTTGAATCTACACTAATGGTTTATTCTTCCGCATTGACAGTCCACCACAGGATATTCTCCACGAAAGACAATATTAACCCCCGTAACACGCCACAATCGCCCTGATGCAACCCCAGCAGTCTCAAAACAGCCCCTGAAGAAACTGGAAATCCAACTTAATTGTACACTTGGGAATCTTACAAGAACTTGCCCTGCATCTTACTACCCGTTAAAGTTCACCGAACAAAATGAAGCCTCTACATCATCTCCTCTGCCACCTACATGTCCAGATTACTTCCGTTGGATCTACGATGACCTATGGCATTGGAGAGAAACAGGAATCACCAAAGAAATGGTGATGAGAGCCAAAAGGACAGCAGATTTTCGGTTGGTGATAGTGAATGGAAGAGCATATGTTGAAACCTATCATAAGGCATTTCAAAGTAGAGACACATTTACATTATGGGGCATTTTACAAATGTTACGTAGGTACCCTGGTAAAGTACCTGATTTGGACCTGATGTTCGACTGCGTTGACTGGCCAGTTCTTAAGACTGAATTCTATCGACACCCTAAGGCCCCTGCTCCTCCACCTCTGTTCCGATACTGCGGGAATGATAGCAGTTTGGATATTGTTTTTCCAGACTGGTCATTCTGGGGATGGTACGAACCTTAATTTTCTCGCATGCATATTGATTTGATAATCTTATAAGTTTTACTGAACCTTATCTTTTTGTTCCATTAACATTGGTTAGGCCAGAGATTAATATAAAGCCGTGGGAGACTTTGTCGAAGGACTTAAAGAAAGGGAATGAGAAGATGAAATGGACTGACAGGGAACCATATGCATACTGGAAAGGCAATCCTGCTGTTGCTGAAACCAGGAGGGATCTGCTCAAGTGCAATGTTTCAGAAAAGCAGGACTGGAATGCACGCGTATATGCTCAGGTATCTTGTTCTACGACATGTAATCATGCTTGTTGTCGCATGTCAGAAAATATGAATCCCTCATGACCTTATATGCTAGGAGTAGGAATATTACACATGATGGTTCATAATAGCTTCTACTATGATGTCAAATATGAAAAAGGTGAGAGGTGAGCTAGTCTCGACTTCAGTCAACTACTTCCGTCATATTTGGAGGTTGTGCCTTTGTGAGGAATTTCATACTAACTTATTGTCCTGAAATTTCCAAGTCCAGTGAATGTACGTATGTGGAACATGTCCGTCATGTTTACCGCAGATTCACTACTCTAGTGAGGCTAATTACATGACTAGGGATAGTAGGAAATGTAGAATGTAAGAGAAATTTAAGTGAGGAATCTATAAATATATGTAGGACTGGGTTCAAGAAGAGAAGCAAGGGTACAAGAAATCAGACTTAGCTAGTCAGTGCATCCACAGGTACGAAAAATAAAGTTGTTTCTCTTTATTTTTGGTTAACATGTCCGTGTTTGTTAACTATATCTTCCTAAACGTTGTCTGATTTTTCTCTTTTCTTCCTTATGCAATTATGTCAGGTACAAGATTTATGTAGAAGGATCTGCATGGTCCGTGAGTGAAAAATATATTCTAGCCTGTGATTCTGTTACGTTACTTATAAAACCCCAGTACTACGATTTTTACACCAGAGGTTTGATGCCTCTGCAACATTACTGGCCCGTAAAAGATAAAGACAAATGCCGATCAATCAAGCATGCTGTTGACTGGGGGAATACTCATGAACAAGAGGTAATCTATAATCTGAACCCCAACTCATCACGGTCTTCACCATCTTATTGGCATTGTCCGATAATTTACTTCTTTGGTGAATAACATAGGCACAGGCGATTGGTAAGGCAGCAAGCGATTTCATTCAAGAACAACTCAAAATGGATTATGTGTACGACTACATGTTCCATCTCTTGAGTGAGTATGCTAAGCTGTTGAAATACAAGCCCACTGTACCTCGAAAAGCAGTTGAACTTTGTTCAGAGGCAATGGCATGCCCAGCTGAAGGATTGACAAAGAAGTTCATGTTAGAATCTATGGTTGAAGGCCCCTCAGACGCGATACCTTGTAACATGCCACCTCCATTTGGCCCTGCAGGTCTTCACTCTATTCTTGATAGAAAAGAAAATTCAATAAAACAAGTTGACTCATGGGAACAGCAATATTGGAAGAACAAAAGCAAACTACAACGAAGATTTTAGTTTTTTTTTTTACATGTAGTAAGGTACATTTTTTCGTTAAGAGTTTGTTGTATAATCATCTAACATTATAATGGAGCACACGAACGATAAACCTTGGTGTTGGGATAACATATGTTAGGAGGAAAACAATTCAGGAAGGAAGTTTTTTCCTTTATATAGGTATTTGTAATAATATATTCATTTGAAGTTCAATGGATGAAAATATAATGGAATTAGTCAGTCTAAAATGCAACAAGAGCACAATCAGATGTTTTATTTAGGAGAAAAACCACCATTTGATACAGAATGCTGTTACCACAAGTTAAGGCATTACATGAGAAATACAAAGATGAACCACAACAAAGAAACTGGAAATGCAACTGCATGAGAGGACTCAGTAGGCTCGCGATTTTATAAGATCAAAGCTCATTTCACTAGGTTCAGTTGCTTGCAATTCAACTTGAATTCCATCCAGTTCTCTCTTGAATCTGTCCTTTGAGCTCGCGTATACCATCTTCATCCTCACCCTTGATGATTCAGGTGACCTAAAAGATATCATCATGCGCATAGTATTATTAGTTAGAATCAGGCCAAATCTTCTTTCACTGAGTATCTTTTTTTCTCAAATGGATATACACATGTAATGAAAGTTATATATGTATACCAAGCAATAAAGAAAATCTTGCTTTTCTGGATATTTTCATTAGTTATGAAGTCGAAATCAAAGACAGCATAACGACATTCATCAGGAGGGAGAGAGTTAGCGAAATCATCGTAGTTTTCTTCAGGGCTGCCAAGTTTCTCTACCACCACTTCCTGACCATCAATCTTGAAGATAATGAACCTGTAGTTTCTCTTTGCTTTTAATTCTAAGAATTTCAGCTTACATTCATCTTGTACTGCCGTTCCAGACACAGCATTTGCCTGCCCATTTATATTTTTGTCAAATGTCATGAATAAGACACAGAATTCAAATGAAACAACAATAAGAACAATTGATAAATCCTAAGATAAGATCAACAGTAACAAGTATATATTATGAATGTCATTATATTCAACCATTCATTGAGTGATTGAGGCCAAACTAATGCATGCAGGTGCTTACGCACCTTGTACTGAGAGGTGTCACATGACACTGCTTCGTCAATTTATTTTTTTTCTAAATATGCGAACTATAGATAATAACCAAAATGAAAATATTGGCTATAAATATTTAAAATGGCACCCCTTATCGCTATAATGATATTCATTTTTTTTTAAATACCGATACTGCTTACAAAAACTCTTGTGTATGCCAGTGGATGCATTCAACCAAGAAAACATGAATAGATCCATTTTTTCTCCCGTGGAAATATATATATATTTAGAATTGATTTTTTTTCGAAAATTATATGCTTAGTGAGTGCACCATGATTCATCGTAAAAGTGAATCATTTTTGTTAAAAATAAATAAAAATCTACGTGTCACATACAAATTGGTCAATTTTTCCACGTATACACTCTTAAGTTGGATCTGAGAATATAAAAAAGGTGTCGAAATGACTCAATATATGCTTACTACAGATGTTCAAAATGAACAAAAAGCCTACTTAAGATGAGGTGTCTAAGTAAAAGCTGGTGTCAACTTCGGCCGATTGATTTGCCGTTGAATGACAATTAAGTTAAAGATGTATAACATGACAAAATGGTGATTGAAAAGAAAAAATGAAACAGAAAGAAGTGAAAGAAAGAGAGTATATATATATATACCATGGTATCGTATAATGAAATTATGAAATAGATAAGGATCTCTGCCTGCTAAATGGATAGAAAAAAAAAGGGATAAAGGGTGGGGGGATAGAGGAGAAAATGGTAGAGATCCTTCAATCTACAAGAGAAAAAACAGAGTCTAGCTGGTTTATTATTTATAATAAATAATACAAGAGACAGATTCGGAGTTTAAAGAGGAAATGTTAGATAAGGGGTTGTGAGTATTCTGAGCTATTTTGAGGCTCATTAATCATTTTAGTCACGACTACGACCACGACCATTCTTTGTCAACTGTAATATAATTTCCTGTTGAACTTCCCACGACGGTCATTTGTAGGCGTGATGAGATAAATAAGGATATTTTATGACATTATTTTATTTCATTATCAATATGTGGTAGTAATCCATCATTTGTATCTCAAACCAAATATAAGATAAAAATTAATCCCAAATTTTATTCAGTTGCCCCCTAAATATACAAATGTTAATTTACACTAAAACAAAAAACCGCTATATAATTTCTCTATTTTATATTGTTGGCACAATATTAATTTGAAATGCAATACTCTAATTTGATCATCCTACTAAACTAGAAAGCTTTTACAGCAAAGTACAACATCAATTTGTGAACAAGGACCAGGTCAGCAGAAGTAGAACTGGGAAACATGCAATTAACCCAAAGCAAAAAAGAATAAAGGTGGATACACAGTTTACTAATGAAAAACGAAGACTAGAAAATAGTCCTAATCTTTTTTTGGTCATACTCAAAAGACACCATTTAGCATTAGCACTCTCGAACAATTTGTCACAAGTGTTTTAATTTTCTGACGTATTTGTGTCCAAGATCCTCACTAACTAGAGGAGAAAAGAATATTGCAAATCAAAATTTGAAAGCGAATTGCAGTTGTTGGACAAGATATATGGAGCAGTTTCAAGAAAATCAATATCTATTCAATAGATTGCGCTTTCCAGGATCACCGGTTCTTCTGGAGATCCACTCATCCTTCAAAATTAACAACTTTAGGTTCTTTTTTCTTCTTTAATTTAGCATCATCGTCTTCATTAACATCCTCTGCCATGAAGTTGAAGTCATCCTCGAGATCATCCCCACTGCTGAGTTTTGTAACTTGTCCCCTTGGCCGGTCTTCAAATTGAGCTGTCAGAAACAAGGGAAAGGTCACAAAAATGGTGGAACAGCTGAAACCAAACCAACACTAGCAAGCAGCATCTGTTACTAACAAGCCACAAGCATATAGTAAAAAAAATAATCTATCAGGGTGTGTTTGTAATCAATAAAGGAGCACACCAACGTCCACCAAAAGTTATTCACAAGGCAGCCATTTACGACATAAATCTCTCTTCTAACCCCTCCCCCCCATGCCAACAAAATGGACTGTTCCCTTGCTACATTTAGCACAAAATGCATGAACATGGAACTGAAGGAGTGTATGAAAGAGGACATGAGAAGGTACGGACTTTATATTGAAAAGGAACAAGAGTGACTGTGATATGACTTAAGAGGCCTTTAATTACATTAAAAAAAATATGATAAACAGACAACTGTAGCTCGATTAATTCTCTTCTGCACCAAATGAAATTGGCTTGGCTTTGCCATGGTCAAAACCTGTTCAACTGAGCAGATAAAGAAAAAAAAAAGTTGACAAAGTTGTTGGACTGTCAAGAGAAAACAAGACTAGGTCATGCACAAGAAAAGTAGAAGAGAGCAAGCGCTCAGTTTGCCAAGTAAAAGTGAAGGCAAAACTAGAAGTGCCGAAGAGCAAATTAATGGAATAATATATTAAAGTACTTACAAATTTTAAATCTACCAATGGCCATATCAGAAGCTTTGCCGGATTTATTAGGACAGTCTCTTGCCAAATGTGTAACGCCACCACAAATTTTGCAACAACCACCCTGCAAACAAAAGTCATCCAGAACTTGAACTTCTAACCTCCGGTGAAATTAACGTTTAAAAGATTCCCTAGAAAAGAGCTCATTTTGATTGAGTAAACATGGACGTATCGAACCAGCATCAGAAGGTAGCTGTGAAGTGATTGAAAATGAAGTTTGAAGCCAATCGAATATATGTACCTTTGGGTATATGCCATGCGTATTTTTAGGGCAGTCCTTACTCAAGTGACCTTGTTCTTTACAAATAAAGCAACTGGCAAACTTTGTTCCACCTGCATAATTGAGAAAACAACATGATTTTACTAAAATTAAAGAAAAGAAACAAGAAAAATCTTTCTAATAGAAGAGATATTATTGTTAGATCAACTTCAATAGACCCTTGGAAGACAAGGGCAACTCAATCTGAATAGCACATATATACAACAATTTAGCATATGCTAATTCTTGAAGCACTTCAGTTTTGTCGGTTGCATATACTCTTTTTGTTCCACCAAAGAAATTCTGAAACTAATTTCTTAACTCGGCATTAACGCAATTTAGGTCAACTCCTATTTTGTAAGTATGGATTAATGGAGTTTGATTGGTCAAGGCAACACTATAACAATTAACCAATACCGTGACCCTGTCAGTTGGTTCAGGAACTTATTTAGTAGTTTAGCCTTAATTATTCAATGTTTAACACTTCCATACTGCATATTACGAAGTTGATACACAGAGTACATGAAAATTAGTGGATCAGTATTGAAATTACAATGAGAAGGACAAGGAAAAAGTTCGTAACCTGAAGAAATGTATGCACACAAAAAAAATAAAAGAAGTAAAAGAAAATACATTGTACACGGAATGAAGAAAAGAGATACTACTAGATAAGGTCAAGGAAAAATACCATCTTGAAGCGGATAGGGGCAGTTAGCCAAAGAATGACTTGTATTACCACAATTGTAACACAACTTCTTATCCACTACTTCATCATTCTTGTTGGGGCAATTCTTCAGGCTATGACCACGTCGACGACAAAGCAAACATATCTTCATAGACACATATCAACCAAAGTAGTGAAAATCAGCATGAGGCAATAATATTCTTCTAGTGTAGCAAAATATCATCTTTGATATCATTGGGCAGTGAAACTACAAGTCAATACTAAATAGATTCTGTCCAAAGACCACATTTGGTATGACTTCAATTGTTCTTACCAGAAAAGGAAACATTTTACCTAAGAAAATCATCTGCTAAGTCATTTTCCAATGCTCCATTGAGAATAAAAGTTGGTGGAATTAAGAGTGGTTGAGGGTGGACTGACCACCAACGGTGGTGTTTGGTAACAATTATAAGTTGGAAAGGGTTATTTAGAAGTTAATTGGGATTAATGATATGGAATGTACATATTTTCTTTCTAAGTAAAGTAAGTACAATGCACTTTGAATCTAGTTATGGAGTATTAAGTTCATAATAGATTTCATCTATTTGTTGCAAATCAACAGTTTTAGCAGCCAAACTCTGGAATGACTACACCATGGAGAATCAAACCAAAATATCAAAGCACCATTATTCATTCAAATGAAATGCCAAAATAAGAAGACGAAATGAAAACAAAAGATTCAATTCAATTTTCACTTTTCTTTTATTAATGGAAGAACATTCCCTATCGTATTGTTTGTTGTAGTTTATGTTCTGTTACTATCTCTTGTTTCTAGTACTTCCGTTACTTGTATGAAGTTGTTGATAGCATTACCAGCCCTGCCATAAACTCTGCTAACGACGTTGTTGATAGCATTACCAGCCCTATCATAAACTCCAGCAGAGTAGCATAAACATCGCAATACAAAATATACACAATAATGAAAAAAACCAAAAATTGTACCTTATTCTTTTCCCATTCGGCTTTTCTAGGGCAATCTCTGGCAATATGGTCATGTTCTTTACAAATAAAACAGCTTTCACCAGGCTTCATTCCAGCGACTCTAAAAGGGTGCTTAGTAAATGAACGTTTGTTATTAGGATCTTTGGATTCTCCTTTTTTCTTCTTGAAAGTGCTCTTCTTCTTCTTTTTCTTGTTGGGGTCTTTAGGCGGAGTTGGTTCTGGCTTGGGGAATAGTTCAGGATTAGCATCCTTGTATCGTTTTCGAGCTAATTTCTGCCTTTTGCTCACCATTTTTCTTACAGAGTATGATTCCTCTGCTTCTGCTTTGTGAATTAAAGGAAGTAAATAACAGCAGCTCCAAGGTTGAATGAACACTGTGAATGAGAAAGCTTTTAGGTATGGCTGCTGGTTGAAGACGAGGGTTTTGTGAGGTTTTGGATACACAAATTAGACATTACGGTTCGATTTCGGACCGCCCAAAGATCCATGGGTTATCGGATCCGGGGCAAACAAAGCTAATTCAATATCGGTCCAAAATTATTGAGGAGGGTCAGTTTGGACATTACGTCCCTGTTAGGACAATACGATTTCAAGCTGATTTCATGTCATGAGATGAAATTCTAAATTCTTAAAAAAAAAATCATGATGTGAAATTTTAAATTATGATTTGGAATTTTTCAAATACAAAAATTGACCTACAAGTTGATATTTTGTAAAACGAAATTCACATCTATATTTTACATTTATCCAAAATATTCACATCAACATAAAATTTATTATTACTTCAAATGAATTCCTATTTTTTTCATTTAAATTCACCAAATTTATTATTTTTGATCAAATTTATTTACCAACAAAATTTATTCCTACTTCATTCAAATCAACATTTAATAAATAATTTTTTTTTATTATTATATTGAGTAGACAAGACTAATCATTGTGACATTAATTGGAAAAAAAATGATTGAGAAATGCAAATTCAACGTGAGTAGATTGTTCGTAATATGTGTGAAGATTATATTAAAAACTAGTATACTACAACTTATGTTCATGTTTTTTATTGAATTGAAATTTGATCAATAATTGTTGTATACATAAAATGTCCAAATTATACATCCAAACAAAATTTTAGTTTCATCTCATTATTTTATATTGCATGGTCAAACGAGCCACAGGTATATCCAAATTATTCGAATTGACTCATTTGGTAAATATTTGATAATTAAGACCTACTAATTTCAAAATAAATTTAATTCATACGAGAATTGATGATTTTAAAAAATAAGTAAAGAAGACAACAAATCGAGAAAGGTAAAAACTAATCGAAGAGAACCACTTGATATTAGGGCTGCTTATAGGGCAGATAATTTCTCTTAACAGTTTGACCTAACAAATATTGATTTTTAAATTTACTTATCCACTAGCAAATCTATAAGATATCGGTTCGTTCGATAACATATTAGCACTTATTAGGTGGTTATCGAACGATGTATTGACTAACATCTACCTTTTTTTTCTCCTTGAACGCACCTTAAAAAATGACTTTTTTTCCCTATTTTAAATGTAGTCAAATTATAAAATTCTTCTATACTACAGAAAAATATAGATTAATAGTAATGTAATAGTTAATACTAACAGATAAGTATATATAGTTTATATATTTTGAAAAAAATTATTAAATGATGCTAACATACCTAAGTTAAAAGTGTAAATATGATAATTCTTAACAGGTTAGCGGTTTATCCAATAAGGAAATTGAATAATCCGTTTCCACACCAATAAACCATTAACTATAAAATTCTAATATGTTCATCAACCATTTATTCTATAGCTCAATACCAATATGGTTCGATTTTGAACATTCCTACTTGATATACAAATTCATTTGCCGAGCATGGCTATAATTAATATTATATCAAAATAGAATCGTAAATTGAAAAAAATGAAATTTAATAGTAGCAAGATTCAATAGCATCAAACACTTTGGGTTATTGCCTACGCACTAAGCACAACTAACTTAACAACTACACTAACCACAAATTAAGCTAACCCATCGAAACTTAAAACTAACTAACTGATCATAATACATGGATTAACATATCAGCATACATAGATAAATATATGTCTTTCTCAATAAAGGTGTTATTAATTTAATTGATAATCATCGGTTGATAACTGCTAAATCGATTCCAAATCAATCAATATTAATGTATTATATTGGTTCAATAGCAAATTTTAGTAAATTTTAAAATCTAAGCATAAATATATCTAATAAAAAAACACATGTATTATCAAGTTAGTATGTTATGTTGACACAAGAATATCAAAAGGGGTGAGCGCAATTGAGAGAAAGGTTGCTTGATGAGAAAGTATAATGATTAATGCATCTGATCTCACTTGATCACTCCATGATATCTCACTCTCTCTAGATCTTTCTCCCTTCTTTATTATTCATGACAGGGTCAGGCACAGGCGGATCCACATTTATATATGGGGTTGTACGTGCACCCATTAACTTCAGAAAAAATCATGTGTATATAAATATATATCTATCTTGAGAAAACTAACAAAAACTAAGATATAATTAACAGTGCACACATGAGGAGTTAAGAAGCTTCCTTGTATTGCTGGTATAAGCTAGCCCTACTGAGTAATATATATGAATCTCTCTCTGAAAAGTATATTAGGTTTTCTTTTTGCACTTGTTTGAGTGAAAACCACGTTTGGGATGTTCTACTTTTTCTGCTCCATAAAATATAATGGCATTTTCCCCACACTTCACCTTACAGTCTGGCCTATATACAACAACAATTCCAATGTAAAGGGTTTGGAGACGGTAGAATATACACAAACGTGATTATAACTATCTCAGTCGGACCCATAAATATATATATTGCAAATTATTTAGCATTTTATAATTTCTTGGGTGATCTTCTTTCTTTCTGCCATGCTCTTCAGTACAGACTGAGCTAAATTGAAACTTTTACTTTTGTCAACACGTGAAGAGGAGAACATATTCCTATGAAAACAAACACCATAAGCTATACACCACGATTGAAAGTTGAAACTCCCTAAATTTGCTTATGTCGTTGATGATTGAATATTCTTTTCGTAAATCACACCATTGAACTATAGTGTGAGTTTTCTATCTGAATTATCACCAAATATTTATCGAAACTCATCTAAACTATCATTAATTTGAGTTTCACGTCTTACCACTCCCCCATAATCCTTTACTAATTAATTACTGACTTATTATTCATTTCATTAGTTGGGTTATCCTTTTCTACAATTATTGAACCAAACAAAAACAGTTTCTTCTAAAAATTCTTCCAGCTGTTTTTTCACATGACTTCTCCAGTAATCACATGCCTCCTTTCCGACGCTTCACGTGCACGCAACAATCTTAACCGCTTTTTTTCACAACGTGATAAAAGCGCGTGTCTATCACACACGTCAAACCCGCGTGACTAAACTTTTCAAAATTCCCCCAAAAAATGAACTGTCGCCGTCAAGTTGTAACGGCGAACAAACTCCGTTTTCATTTTTCCCACCACCCTTTCATCAGTATATAAATCTCAACTCCTCTTTCCTCCATTTTCCTAAACCCAAATTCTCTCTTCCACAGTAATCCCATTCATTCAATTTCTCGCGAAATCAAAAGTAAAAATGCGTGAGATTTTGCACATTCAGGGAGGCCAATGTGGGAACCAGATCGGAGCTAAGTTCTGGGAGGTTGTGTGTGCCGAGCACGGAATTGATTCCACCGGAAGGTACAAAGGAGAGAGTGACCTTCAATTGGAGCGCGTGAATGTCTACTACAACGAGGCAAGTTGTGGAAGGTTCGTTCCACGCGCCGTCCTCATGGACTTGGAGCCGGGAACCATGGACAGCGTTAGATCAGGTCCTTATGGTCAGATATTCCGGCCGGATAACTTCGTCTTTGGTCAGTCTGGTGCTGGTAATAATTGGGCCAAAGGACACTATACTGAAGGAGCGGAACTTATCGACTCGGTTATGGATGTTGTAAGGAAGGAGGCTGAGAACAGTGATTGCTTACAAGGTAATTTGTCTGTTGCTTTTCATTTAGTGCTTTTTGATTCTATAACAGAACTTATTTTGTAACATGTGATTACTCGGACGGTGATCGGGCTGTGTATGTACTTGTGCATGATAGCAAAGTCAGGAATTTCGCTAGGAGTGTTCAAGTTTTTTTTTATATACGTTGTATTTTTTTATACGACCGTTATAATTTTTCAAAGAAGGATGTTTAACTGATCATCCAGTGCGTGTGGTATGTATGTCCAACTTAGCAAGAAATCATGTTTACGTCGTAATAACAATGCAATTTTAAATTTAGATGTTTGAAGACTGATGTATTCATTCCCTGTTTGAACAAATTTTTGTTAGGCTTATAAGAGAGAAATGAAGTTTGCATTTGCTATAATTTTGTTGATTTTGTGTAGTAAATGGCTTGAATCCAAGTAAATTGTCTATTTTGTAAAGCTTATGAATGTGGACTCTGTTTTAAATTTCAGGTTTTCAGGTTTGTCATTCTTTGGGAGGTGGAACTGGATCAGGAATGGGAACTCTCCTCATATCTAAGATCAGGGAAGAGTACCCAGACAGAATGATGCTTACTTTCTCTGTGTTTCCTTCCCCGAAAGTTTCTGACACTGTTGTTGAGCCCTATAATGCTACTCTCTCTGTTCACCAGCTTGTTGAGAATGCAGATGAGTGCATGGTTTTGGACAATGAAGCTCTTTATGACATTTGCTTCCGAACTCTCAAACTTACTACTCCAAGCTGTAAGTCGTCTTCTTGATCAGCAATAGTTTCTTTTTGGTGAAACTTTACAGTTATGATGTTTTGGTTATTGTATGTCATGTACTCCCGTAGTAGTTAAATTTACACTGCATCTATGCTTGTCTTTTGTCTGATTCTTTCTATCCTGGTATTGAGATTCTGTTGGATTTACCCTTTTTATATGATTGTATTATGCTAGTATATGTAGATTAATGTACTAACTCGTGATGTTTGCCTCAGTTGGAGATCTTAATCATTTGATTTCTGCCACCATGAGTGGTGTGACTTGCTGTCTCCGGTTCCCTGGTCAGCTCAATTCTGATCTCCGCAAGCTTGCTGTCAACCTCATCCCATTTCCTCGGTTGCATTTCTTCATGGTTGGATTTGCTCCTCTCACTTCTCGTGGGTCACAGCAATACAGAGCCCTGACTGTTCCTGAGCTCACTCAACAGATGTGGGATTCAAAAAACATGATGTGTGCTGCTGATCCTCGTCATGGTCGTTATCTGACTGCTTCAGCGATGTTCCGGGGAAAAATGAGCACCAAGGAAGTTGATGAGCAAATGATTAATGTGCAGAACAAGAACTCTTCCTATTTTGTGGAGTGGATTCCTAACAATGTGAAGTCTACCGTCTGTGACATCCCTCCAACTGGACTGAAGATGGCCTCAACTTTTATTGGCAATTCCACCTCAATTCAGGAGATGTTCCGTAGGGTCAGCGAGCAGTTTACAGCAATGTTTCGAAGAAAGGCTTTCTTGCACTGGTACACTGGAGAAGGTATGGATGAGATGGAGTTTACAGAGGCTGAAAGCAACATGAACGATCTAGTTTCTGAGTACCAGCAATATCAAGATGCATCAGCTGAGGAGGAAGGTTATGACTACGAAGACGAGGATGAAGAAGGTCAAGAAGCTTAACCAATTCAGCTGGTGGAAAATTTTCGAGTGCTGTTTATGTAGTCGTCCCACTCTTCATTCTTTTAAATGTTTTAGGGTTTGGATTTTTGTTTTGCATGTGACATCGTGGTGGGACAGTTGCTCAATCCCATGTAGTTATAGTTGGTGTTGCTTCACATACCTATCACTGTAATCTAGCTCATTGTATTCTTATTATAGTACCAATATTTTGTGACTAAGGGAATTGTGGCTCGCTTCAAAAACGATTATCTCAATGTGTTGTGAATATGAAATGTTACTTGGACAAAGTCTGGAGACTGCATTATGTTTGCTAAAGATAAAGGCATCGTGACAAATAAAAGAACCTTTGCATTACTAAGAGGAGAAATACAAGATATCTAGCCAAACAATATCCTGATAAGATCAGAAAAGAATACACTTGCGCCATTACTGAAAATCTAGAGCACTGATATATTCTCGTGTCCCAATTTCTTGACCAAGTAGTATGTATGTAAGTAACATTGAAAAACACATTCATTTTATTGTTAATAGGAGAGCGAACCGTAGATAGCCAACAATTTTTCTACGCTCCAAACTTGGGGACTTTAGCAGTTGAAATCTGTGCAAGGAAGTGCTCTGCAACAAGTCGTCGTTGAATTTTCCCTGATGCAGTCTTTGGAAGAGAATCAGTCATGAAAACCTTCTTTGGGACCTTAAAGGCTGCCAGGTTCTTCTTGCAAAATCTCATAACCTCTGCTTCATCAATGTTTGACCCTTCTCTTGGAATAACTGCACAATTTATCTGTCGAACATGAAAATGTTTGGTTTAGTCAGCCATACAATGAGAATAAGATGAAACAAGGCTGGAAACAATCCATAAACATCGCTATAAATCAGTAGTGGATCCAACTATGGCTGTGGATGTTCATCCATCTACATCCATATATGTGTGCTAAAAGACATAAATAGAGTTAAATATACATTTCAACAGACTCTTTTATCACAAAATGTACAACGTTTTAATTCTGAGTGTCCCACTGCTATTAATGGCTTTAGAAACAATAGAAAGAATATAAAACGTAAACCATCTAAATTGTCTTCACAATAGTAAATAGAAGCATTTGAAAGGGATAGGGATGGATTATGTGGTTGGGCAAAATGCAATTTAAGACAAGCTCTCTGAACAACACACAAAAATAGAAAACAGGGCAAACATGGAATGAGATACATTAGACGTCTATCAGAGGAATACATACATGTCCAAATCATTATTTACGCGTAATCAAATGGGATTGAAACAAACAAATGTGGATTTCCACTACACGTTAATGGAATTAAATGGGCCAATTCCACAAAATTGGAGTTTTTATAATCTTACCTCTTCACCATACTTGTCATCAGGAACTCCAAAAGCAACAGCCTGAGCAATTTCCAGATGAGAAACTAGGACTGCATCCACTTCAATAGGTGATATTTTCTCTCCTGTAATTATAAGATAATAAAATGATCATCAATAACAACAAACGAGTAATAGTGCATTAACGCTGCTCCATATATTAATATATTAATTAACCGAGTTACTTCAACTCTCATATTCTTCAGTTCAGGAATCTAGTACTATTTTCGACTATTGATTATGACATGTTGAGCAATATCAGAGTATAAAGATGTAAATTTCATCAACAGTACTATTAAAAAAGCCCCTCACAGACAGAGTTTATGCTTTTCACCATTTTATAAACTTGTTGTTCGGGTTGTCACATCATAGGATGCCTTGATTCTTCTTTGTTAAGACATTTTTAAGACCATGGACAACGGAATAATCTAGGTAAGGCTTTATAAAAATAAATTAGTAGTCAAAATCATGAACCTAATTTCTGGCTTGGGCCACCCTTACTCCCAAAGCAATGGACAGGAAAATTCTACTAGTAAGTTACATCTCACACACGGAATATCAAGCCAAGTTTTATTCAGCTATGCATATTGGGACCACAAACTTGGCTTCACAATAAATAAAGATTATAAAATGGCATATATTTACGGTCCATACAACATGATACCCAAGAAAAGCATTTCTCCGCCATTAACTACCACCAATTAGTAGAAGTAAAAGAATTTAAAAGAGTTTTGTACACCATGAAAAAAATTCCTAAGGTTTATTCACAACTTCTTTTCATAACAAACCTAAAAGATAATCTGAATAAAAGAGTATACTCTAAAAGTAATATGAGGGTGTCTCGCTAAGTTTATAAATTGGTCAAACTAGCTTATAAACATTTTCTGCTATATTTGTGAGGCTGGTGAATACCAAAAAATGCTTACGAAGTGCTTATAAGCCAAAACTCACGCCTAACGTATGGTTTCAACACCTAATAGTTTTCTTCAGCACTTAGATGCTTATCAACTACTTTTAATCAGCTAACCCAAATGGACTCTATATATTGGTATATGTAGCTTAAATCAAAGTAAAAGATTGTTTCTTTGACCTACTTTTTTGTTTCCATAGAGTACTTTCATGTGATTGTTATCATGCATTTCATGAGGAATAAGAGAAGAGTTTGTTACCTCCACGGTTGATCAACTCCTTGATTCTGCCAACCAAATGCAAGTATCCATCAGAGTCCAAATAACCCACATCTCCGGTATGAAACCAACCAAACTGGAAAGCTGATTTATTAGCCTCTGGATTGTTCTTGTACCCTTTCGTCACATTTGGACCCCGAATACAAACTTCCCCCTTAGCATTAGGCCCTTGTACAACACCATTCTCATTCAATATCGCCATCTCTTGACCCACAGGTTTCCCAACCGACCCGGGAATATGTGGTCCATCCTCGGGTAACGGGTTCGAAGCCATCAAATGGGTTGCCTCTGTCATTGCATATGCCTCCAAAACAGGAGCCCCAAATGCTTCTTCTAACCGGGCCATCACTGATGGAGCCAGTGCTGCACTGCAGCTCCGAATGAACCGGAGCTTCGGGTATTCGGATTCGGGTTTGCTGAGGTGACGATCCAACAGAATTTGGTGAATTGTAGGCACAGCTGTGTACCATGTTGCGTTGTATTTTTTCATGTCTGACCAAAAAGTTGTACCGGAAAATCTCCCGGCAGATGGAAGTGTCACTGATGCTCCGGCTCCGAGTGAACTCAGCAACCCGGCCATTAACCCGTGAACGTGAAACAACGGCAACACAATCACCGTCGAATCCGAGTCGTTGAGTTTGTACACAGATTTGATGTTGTTCACTGAAGATACCAAATTAAGCTGAGACAGAGGAACACCTTTTGGCCGGCTCGTGGTGCCTGATGTATGAAGGAAAAGTCCAATATCCGATGGGTCGTTAACGATTCCTGACGCCGATTGAAGGTTCGATTCGGGAGGACCCGGGGAGAAAGCAATATCAGAGTCGGCTTCCGGCAGAGTTACAGTCATATGTGGGATTTTCAGCTTGGAGGCGGCGGCTTGAGCCGCTTCATTTCCCTCTTTTGCAGTTATTAAGAGTTTCGATTCTGAATCAGATAAATAAAACTCAAATTCTTCTGCCATATACGCTGAATTCAGTGGCGCCGCCGTGGCTCTAACTCGAATTACAGCTAGAAACATGATCACGAACTGTAAAAATCAAAATTCAAAACACAAATTACTACTTTAATTAGGTTAAAAATCTTCATCATAGTTTGAAAATATCAAATCGTGATTATATCACAAAAATAACGTAAAACCCCCTTTTATTTTTCCAGTTAACGTAAAAACGAACCCTGTTTTCTTTTTTTCCTTTCAGATTCCATAAAGTTTCTGCAATGTGATCACGGGTTCAAATAGTGGACTATAGTCCAGCCAAGCTTAGTGCATCGAGCTGCCTTTTTATTCTGTATTAATATGAAAACAAAAAGAAAAGGAAATCGAACCTCGATTGTGTTGGGGAAGGTAAGAGCGACGACATCGCCGTGCTGAACACCGGCAGATACAAGCTGAGAAGCGGCACGTTCGATAAGTTCGTGAAGCCGTGCATGAGTGATATCAAACTTGCCGGAAATGGAAATAGCAGGGTGAGAAGGGAATTTTTCAGCAACATGTTTCAATAATCCAGTGAGCGTCATACTCTCCATAGCAGAATCAATAACCACGAATATTGATATGATTATGAAATTCGGCCACAACAAATCGTTTGTAAATGAAATAAATGAATAGTGAAAAAGGAGATTGAAATGGTGATGAAGAATGTAAATGGTTGGTAAGTTATATATAGAAGAGAGGCGTGAAGCTTCTTTGTTTTTTCTGTAGTACAAATAAACTGAAATAGAGAAATTAAGATATCAAAATTAGAAAAAACCTTTATGATGGGTGTAGGTGAGACTAAGGGAGGTGGCACGCCATGTGTTGATCGTTTTGCCCTTTTATGGGGGAGGACGGGCACACTCCTTAATCCTCTTATCTATTATTAACGCGGCAGAACTTTTTGTCATGGAAGTTTCTCTCCCTTCCTAATTATTTATCCACTTTTTTTTTTATAGGTGTCTCTAATTACTTGTTCATTTTGATAAATTAAGTAGTTTCAATTAAATGACTAATTATTTTGAAAAATACAGAACTTTTCATCCACTTCATAATTAATAGGGGTAAAATGATAAACTCACTATGTCATTAATTAATTTCTTAATAGGTGTATCAATTCAAAAATGGACAAGTAATTACGGACAGAAGGAGTGTCTAGTAAAATGACTTCTGTTTTTGCTCCCATCATATACCAAATCGCTTGATTGTTTGGAATTTTGTGGGGAAGGAGATCAAATCGCTTCAAAAATAAAATAAAATAAAATAAGAAATACATTGAATCGTATGATTGTGATGTATCCATATTTTGATATATTTTAGGGTGTACTTGGCGTTCTACATGCAGAGACGTATCTCAAGGGTGGTCACCGAGTTCACGTAGTTCTCTTTCGAGATCATATATAATAGTGTTATATTTTTAAAAAAATATTGAAATATAGATCTGTGAACCTACATTCGAAGTATCACATAATGCGATTATGACTGGGTGCACCTCTCTCCGCGAGATTAGAGATTTGAATTTTATATTTATCTTCTTTTATTCTTCATTCTAAAATTAGATAACACTTCTCTAAGTGGTTTTAATTAATTCAACGGAAAAGGGCCTAAATACTTGAAGTATTGAAAATGGTACACAACTACCCCTTATCCACCTATTGGCTTCAAAATACCCTCCTCATCCACCTATTGGCTCACAAAAACTCTCCC